CTGGGGGGGGTCATAAAACCAGTGATATCATGATTAGTTGTCATGGGGACCAAAAGGGGGGATGGTGTTCAACAGAAATCCTGGCATCCAGTTTATTGAGTGAGGGGACTGTGACGATTTGTTAATCTAATGAATAATTGATTTGTTAAATCAAATAAAAATTAGTGTGTCAGATTGGTCGAGACGCTACATTAGTATATCAAATTTTAAATGATAGCTTGGTGTGAGATACAGAAAATTAAGCTATTATTCATGAATTCAAATGTGAGATAGACAAAATATTTTATGGTTCTTTTCTTGGTTTGGAATGGCATAAGGATGAGTAAATTATAACTAGCATATTACTGGTATTAAAATTTACATTTTGCCCCAACAGTTCATAGCCAGCCTATTCAAAGTCACCCAAAGGCGCACAAACACTTCCTAAACCTAAGCTTCAAAACAAACCTGAAAGCAAAAGCAGTGCACTCACGATCAACAAAAACAGGCCTTCATACAGACTTCACACATCCCTATCCTCACCCAGGTTCTTCCTGTTCCGCTGCTTTTGTCTTGGCTCAGTGAGAATTATGCAAATGTAGGCAATACATAAGCTGGCACAGAGCTGGCACACAGGCTGAATCCTGATGTGAGCGGATGGCAGAATCAGCTCTGCTGTGCCACAGCCTGCTTGACACTTTCTCTCTCTCTTGCTGTCTGTCTCTCCCTCTCATTTCTGTGCCCACGGAGGACAATGGCTTCGTTGTGCTCTACTTCTATTGAACAGAGTCTGAACAGCCCTTGCACGCAAAGCGTTGTTGATCAGTGAGTGTTTGAGGGTTCGGAGCTCAGCGTTATTGAAGAGTAAGCACAAACCCGTAGGTTCAGTGTTCTGCAATGTGGTCTTAAAATCAAACACTTCTCCTTTAGGCACCACGACTTCTCTAAACTATTGCCTGGTTGTCTTTGTCTTTCTTCTCTATGATTAGATACTTGCATTGAGTAGCGTAAGACTGTCTAGTGAGAATTTCTTTCGAAAGTGTTGTTCTCTCTTGCTGCAAGATCGCTCTTTTTTCTCACTTTTTTCCGTTTCTGGCTGATATGCAGGTTAATATTTTCATGTTATGTTTGATAAAAATCCAACACAATTTATCAACATTTTTATTAAAATAACTTATTTTATATTTCCATCATTACAATGTACAGTATAAAAAAGTGGATAATCATTTTGAGATTTGCACTGTTAAATGTTTATTTAAATGAATTTATATTAGGGAGAAATTCTTTGTCAATATTTATATATATTTAATATATAATATCAAATATTTAATATTTATAGTAATATTTTAACATTTCAATTTAAAAGTCAAATGTGCAATTTTCTGCACCATTAAACGGAAGTGCATTCTGTTTAAGAACACAACAAATATCATTTAAAATGATACAAAATATATATATTATTGTTATTGTTCATATTTTGAATTAGACTTAATATTTTAATTTTAGTTAAAGATTTAGTCATTTTGATGTGTTTTTGTAATTGTATTTTTTTCAATGTCTATGCGGTTATTAATTTTAATTGATTCGTTTTTACTTTTTACAATACTTCATATTAGTTAAAAAACATTATATTTAATAGTGTTATTAAACTATTCATTTTTTAAGGATTAACTTTAAGTTAACATGCACAATTAAATAATTGATAACAATATCAGTAAATCTTGATACCAATAATTTATACCAATGGAAAAAATATATATATTGGTCAAAATATCACTAAAATCAATTGCATGTCAGAAATATGCATTTAATTAAACAGCGTTAATAGATTACAAGCAAACAAAGTAGATCGGTGAATGTGCAAATTTAGCTTTCACATATGAGCAGGGAGCGAGCGAAGAGTGGGAAATAGAAAATCCCGAGTGAACCAAAAAGGAAAATAATTTCAAAAGGCAGACAATGTTATTAACTTATTTTGATTTCAAGCTTTCTTTGACAAAGAATTTTTATTTGGAATAACATGCACAATGAATCGTGCACAATAAGACTAAGAACTTGCATTAAGAAAGTAAACTTCAACTTCATGTTGACTTAAAAGTTGTCCAGCTGCCTGTCTACAATGTTTTTTTTCTGTGCACCATGGCTATGCGAAACAAAACTATGATGTAATGATTATTTCTCAAATAAAAAAGCGAGGGACAAAAATAGAAATTAGTAAACGCTCTAAATGCTACACCCCTGCTTGTAACACTTGTAATATTTCCCTTCATGCCTCATTCCGATCATGACTTTGAACGTGCACAGGCACGGCGGTGTGAACCATGCGGGCTGAAGTACCATCACACGCCATAGATTGTGTTGACAGCACGGTCTACATACTTGTCAGGGCGTAGTTCGGGTTCTCCAGCTCCATGCGCTGAATCTGGGCTCCCAGGTAAACTTTGATGTCGATGCCCTTGGCGCTAGAAGACGAGTTGAAGAAACGAGAAGGGATTTTTGAGGCGATGTCGGGCTCCTCACGCCCAAAGCCGAGGTTGTACAAGATCTCCTCTGGATCCTCCTCATACAGGTCCAGAAGTTCTGACACGCTGCAAGTAAAACAACATCCATGAAAGACACACACCTGCATCTACCCATAGCAATGCATTACAGTCACTGCATACAAAGATCTTCAAATAACTCCACTGTGTGACCTTAGAAATGGCATTTGTTTTTCTTTTACACAGATTTGATTTTAAATGTTAAGATCAGTGTTACTAAAAATGTATTGATAATATTTATATTCATATATTTAAACCTTTAAAAGGTAAAGTGTGCAATTTTCGGCATCATTAGTAGTATCAAAAAGAATTGCAATCTGTTTGTTCGCAAACATAAAATAAGACAAAACTAAAGCCGCAAAGAGTATCTGAACACTTAAGCCATACTTAAAAATGTATTAATTGCTTAGACAACAAAATATTTAAAAAAAAAAGTTGAAAAATGGTTAATTAGAGCAAATAGTGAAAATGGCCCAAATGCAAAGTTAGTTCTGAGAACATTTGTTTGCAGATGCCACTTGGTATTATATTATTTGTATTATTATTTAATTTAATTTAATTGTTATTGGTATTATCTAGCTAACCGAAATTGGTTTTCAGTAGTGCTGGGCAACAATTAATAGTGATTAATCGCATCCAAAATAAAAAAAATTGTTTACATAATATATGTACACACACATATACTATGTAAACAAAAACTTTTATTTTGGATGTGATTAATCGTTGCTCAGCACTTGTTTTCATATGCCAATGCAAATATCTAGCGTGCAGTATAATGAGCAGCATAATATAATGTTTTATATAATGATATATGTTCTATTCATAATATTGTACTGCTGCTTACCAGTGAAAGCCACTGGCACTGGCTTATTTATTATGATGATATTTGAAACTAGCACAGTTGTGAAGGAAATCGGTTGCCATGCAACATATATTGAAAAAAAAAATTAATAATAAAAATTATATATATATATTAAATAATGTGTTATGTATTATTAATATTAAATACTAAAATATAAAAAACTACTTATAAAGATAAAATGATTATTTAAAATGTATAATATTCAGACTCCTTGTCCAATCACTGGTTGAGTTGTTGCTGTTTCACAAGCCCTGAGATTTTGCATGTGTTAATGACCATAGTACATCATTCTGGTAAAGTACCTGGACACGGTGGTGCTGCTTTTTCCAGAGCCTGTGGAGTTCATACTTCTGCCCTTCTGCTTGAACTGGCTCCTTTTGGCCTTGGCTGCCATTTCATAGCTGTGAAAAGAAGACAGTGACCCGCCTGTGACCAGAGCAAAACAGAAAGAGATGGGAACATTTTGGAAGTCCTACTTACCCATTGGCCTCTGTTTTTGTGCTGCTGTTCTGGAGGTGATTGGCTGTAGAGATGGGAGAGAGAAAGAGGAATAGAGGCTTAATTGTGGTGGATTGCTACCTAATTTGATACCAAATTCCCTTGAACTACCCTGTCGACCTTTGATACAACAAGTGCAATTACCAAAAGCCCTGGCTGCCATTTTATCATAGTGGGAGTTGTTAGAAATTCTTTACGAAAGAGCTTTATTCAACGTTGTGACAATGTTAATTTCCAAAAGTGATTTATTAAGCGGAGAACCATCCACTCCGGATGACGATCCACAACATTTTCCTTAGCACTTAGCACACAATGACAGAATTATATGCGCACACATCCTAACCTGCCAAACGATTCGTGTTACAAATCACATTAGACACCAGGTTTTAGTTCACTAAGGAAGATAGGATTGAACACAGAGACGTGGAGGACATTAGCCAGAGCTTTTCTGGCTTACATGCACTCATCCATCAGCCTCAGGTGAAAATGCTCAACCTCGAATTTCCACAGAAATTCCTACAACTGGTGCTGCCTGATTTCTGTGCTCTTGTCAATAAGAGTGGATAGAGTCATTAAGTGGAACTAGTCTGGACTCGTTTCTTCACATACAGACACACTGAAGGGTGAAATCTGCTCCACTGCAATAGCACAATAGCTTGCGGAGAGACTTGTGAAGAGCGTTTTTCTCTTGGCTTGTTGTGTTATTTAAACTAGTCATTCTAGAACTGTAAAAATACACCCACGCATATATCGTAATTTACCAAGAAAATACAGTATAGTAAAGGTCCAATTATACAAGCAAATAACGCAAGTACTTTTAACAATATTAATAATGTTCTTTAAATGTTATTAACTTTACGTTAAACATTGTTTTAATTTTAGTTTTTTAAACATTTAATATTTCTGAAACAAATTATATTAGATATTTAAACTGAATTTTATTTATATTTATATTAAACTAAATTTATTCTCTCTCTCTATCTCACACACACACACACACACACACACACACACACATACAAACATATAAAATGTATACTGATATATTTGAATATAAATATATAACATAGGAAACTCGTTTAGTTTTCAAACAAAAATTCAGCTAAATATTTTCAATAAATACATAAAAAAATGTATGAGTGGAAAATGTTCCATTTTTGACCCCGATTATGCAAAAATCCACGCCCTAATCAAATGCTGTGCATCAGCATAAAATAATTCCTGACTGCAAATAACTGCCAGCTAACATCAGACTTCTGCAACACTTCTGACATTGAGATCTTGTGGAACAAAAAGTGAGATGCAAAGTCACTTTTATTATTGAAACGTTCCACTCCCGCTAACACATGGGCCATAGGGTGCACACCATGAAACCAGAGATAAGTTATCTGATGTGCCAAGACCAGTCTTTTAACCTGAGTATCACATGCAAGAGTCTGCATGTCGCCCTGTGTCCTTGTGCAAACTCAAGGCAGCACATAAACCAAAGAGAAAGTAAACACTAAACAGCACGAAAATTGACAAGTGACATACTATTATAATATTTAAAAAACAACAACAACAACAACAAAAAAACAGACATAACAAAATAATGCCAGCAGTCATTCTTGTTTGTCAGTCGGTCCATTAACCTCAAAAAAGCTACGTGGAATTCTTAGTCACATTCTCACAAAGGGGCACACTTGAGAGCAATTACAACCGATTAAGGAAGAAAGTGGAGAGTACTTACCCTCAGCTCCCAGGGATAGGTCATCTTCAAAGCTACAGCCATTCTTTAATGGCCCTGAAAGGCAAAGAGATGAGCAAACACTTTTTGCTGACCCATCGCAATGAAGAAGTGATCATTTCCCTTTCTCTTCCCCATAAAAACACTTAAACACATCCAAGTAGCACTTCAGAGCCTGAATGTGGCTTTAGCTCACACACACTGAGAGGTTAACGGTAAATATTTACTCTTAAGTGCAATTACCTTAAGCAGTTATAAATAATGCCGATGCAGTGACCTGATCCATAGCACATTATCCTGCTCTTGGATTCGGTCCTGTTTAGTATTAAACTCTGAAGAAACGTTCATTTAATCAGGCTCTTCTTTGCCTGGAGTGTGTGGGGGTCTGCTATTGGCCCCAAAGCGGCATGCATGTGTGTGTGTGTATATGTGTGTGTGCCAGTGAATGTGCATGCGCTGTAGAGCATTGTGAGGGATCTTGCTCCAAAGTTCACAAGGAGTGGTAGAGGAGAGTCAGCAGGAAGTTGAGTAACTTTTTTGCAGTAAAACCTACTCCAGACTATCATAGCTAACATGCAAGTGGATATCTAGCTTCTGTAACTTCAAATAAACACACTGTTTTGGTCTGAAGAAGATGAACTCACCTCTGGATGGACTGCCGCTTTGTTCGTCCAAAGAGGCCCCGAGAGGAGTCCTGTTGAAAGATCAATAACACGTCATATCCTCTTTCTGCTCGCCAAATCTCTCCCTAAAAAATGTCACTCGAGCAGAAACACACAAACACCCTTCCCTCTCTTGAAGTGTTATTTGCTTCATACAACTCCTGACAGAGATTCTCTTGGCATTAACTTGTCGTCTCAACACTTACAAAGCGCTGCCTTCGAAAGCTCCTTCCACTTTCATCCAGACACCTGGAGATCCGAACGGCGTGAGAAAAAAAAAACACACCACGTAAAACGTGGCTAAGAATAGCTCGTGCTCTGCCGGGTGCAGGCCATGTTTCACAACACCAACAGCAGCAGCACCACCACCAAAGTCTTTCTAGCTCCGGATATCCAGCAAACTCTCGGCGGTGGAGACAATTACATTTCCTGTCAGGCTGTAGGAGGATGTCTGTCTGGTGTGTGTTTAATGATAATGAGCAGGAATTGGGAATAGGATGAGCACGAGGTATTTTTATTGACCTAGTGTGTGGCGTTGATGCTCAAACACGCTGCATCTGGGTTCAACGGGGGAATTTACACTGGGAGCATTTGATCAAGTCAACTGTCAAGGAACAGATCAGCCAAAAATACAATTCTGGCATTATTTACTCATCATGCCATCTTGAATGCCATCTTTTCAGTAAAACAAATAAATTAATAAAAAAATAATATAAATACATTAATAATTTTATTCAGCAAGGATGCATTAAATTGACCTAAAGTGACAGTAATGTTTTATAATGTTCCTAACACTTTTATAATGATCAACAAATTAAGTGCTGTTCTTTTTAACTTTCTGAATTGATGATGATGATAAGACAAGTAGCACTTGAGCACCAAATCAGCATATTAAAATGATTTCTTATGGATCATGTGACACTGAAGACTGGAGTAATGGCTAATGAAAATTCAGCTTTGCCATACAGGAATAAATTATATTTCAACAATCAAATAAAAAAAAGTTATTTTTAATTGTAATAATATTATAGTTTTTACTGTATTTTTTTTATCAAATAAATGCAGAATTGGTAAGCATAAGACACTTTTTTTTCAAAAACATAAAAAAAATCTTACCAACTCCAAACTTTTGAACAGGAGTGTACATGAAATTTTGGCCCATTTCAAATGTTATTTGCCTCCATTTTAATATTTTTCTTTTACTCAGACCAAAATGGCATAACAATAATTCCAAACAAGTGGTTTAGACCTTTACTGTACCAAAAATACAAGAGTGCAGCCGTTGGCAGTGGTCAGAAAGATTTTTGGATTCAATCCAGCTTTTAAACTCAAATATTCAGATAGCAATTAAATATGACATCATCAACAACAAATGGTTTTCACATGTTCCCTGAAAAAAGTTGAGTAAATGACATTAAGCCAAATTTCCAGCAACATTCAAACAAATAGGCTTCCTTTTAGATCACAAGATGAAACGGCCATCAGGGACACGGACCAGCAATTCTGGAATCTGTTTTGTTTTTCAGGTGGAAGGTTTATGCTGGTCATGAGAGACGTATATCTACTAGGGATGTGCATCTCATGACTGATACGATACGCATCTCGATGCATAGCCAACGATACGATACATTAAAGATACATATGAAGCAGCTACCGATGCGATGCGATGCGATTCACCCCTGTTACGATGCAGTGCAATCCGATTTCGATTCGACACAATGCGATTCGATGCAATATGATGCAATGGAGAAAATTTGATCACTTTTAATGCCTCAAGGCCTGTTTCATAAAACAAGTTAACCAAATAAGCCAGGCTTATTTCAGTTAGTCTGACTCACTGTCAAAAGATTTGGTTCCATAAAGCAAATTTAACACAGATCAACTTCAGTCACCGTGGCAACTTATGCTGGAAAACTAACCTGGTCTAACGCAGGTTAACTATCAGACTAAGCTGAGTTCCTCTAACACTGACCAATAGGAACGCTATTATTTGACTTTTTTTTTTTTTTGGGTACAGTTTCTAGCCAAGCAGAAAGGCTCTCTCTGGTTTTATGACAGCTGTACCTTTGCAGAACAGACAGCAGAACAGAACATTACAATCAAAAATTGCTCTTTAAAGCATTAAAATAACTAAATGAAATTTAAAATCACTGAATTAAAATGAAAATAAATAATAAAGAAAATGACTTCTAAACTGCTATAAGAAGCACACATGAACTCATTTGAGCTTAGTAATTAGTACTGAACTAGCTTACATTTGATTTACCCATTACAATAGCCCCTTTACAGTTACTACTATCATAAAAATACACTTAAATGAAGGTTTAAAATTCTACAAAAGGCACATTTAATGTCTAACAACAAATATTTTAGCAAAATGTATATTTTACTCAGAATTATTGCGCTCCTATTTGATTGCGCGCCGTCTGTTTAGCGTGCATGCGTGCAGCAGCGCTCGTTCACTCGCGTCAGCATCGCCCACTCCTGACAGCAAAATGGATATATTTGCATGATTTTCTAACATTTACAGATGAAAAATATACCTGTGACATGTCAGTTATGCAGTGAGGAAAACACAACGTCTCAAATGCATTAAACAGCACAGATATATTTTCTGTTTGTCATTGTGGATCGATTTGATCCATGATCGACATTAAGGGCTGCTTCAGAATAAGTGTGCACAAATTAGTGAGATTGTGTGAACTTAATTTGTCGTTTATGGAACCGCTTTAGCCCCGACTGATTTGTTAGGTCAAGTCAGGTTTTGGACTTTAATCCCAGTTTTTTCTCAGGTCTCCATGGTGTTGTGATTCGTCATATTCACGCAGCAGCAGCGGTGATGAGAGAACGCGCCTGACAAACAAATACATAGATCACAGATTATTGGTCACTTTCTAAATAATAAAAGTATAGTGCATCCACTAGTAATTACAATAAATCGTTTTTTACCAATGCAAATATGTTAGAAACGATGCATCGCGATAAAAATGCCGACTTGTAGCCGATACACACTTTTTAATCCGATGCATCGCATTGTTAACTTTTTATGCCGATGCACCGAGCGAATCTGGGAATCTTCCCATCCCTAATATCTACAAAGTAAATCAATGGCTTTTTCCTCCTACGCTTCAGAGCTAAACAGTCGTACATCTTAAAAAAAAAACACAGCCTGGCAGTACAGAGAGAAAGGCTAAAAACTCTCTGAGGAAAACTTCAGCATTAATGGGCCCCCACAGACCCAAACAAGCCACCAAAAAAACCCCGGCAGCACAAAGGACAATAGTCAGTCCTCACAAGTAATGACTTTGCTGACTCTGGGAAGATCACGGTCTGAACTCACTGAACTATTCACACAATTCTCTCAAATGTACTGCTTGTCAGAGACACCAAAGCCAAGGGACAGAATGCTTTTCTATGCCGCATCGGAGCGTTTTGTTTACTTTCCAATTCCTATCATACTGTGGCGTGTACGCAGATCTTTCTCACACCATTTGCATTTGTATTTTATGAGCAGCGAACTTTCTTAGGTAACTTACCTGCAGGTCCTGAGCCAGTTCTCTACTTGATTTGGTTTACGACCTGAGGAGAAAAAAAAAATACAAGTAACTGTTCCGTGTAATAAACAAATTAATTTCCCTAAAAGCAACAACAAGCAAAGAGTAAACAACCAATCTAACAGCGACAACAAACATAGAGCGGTTCTCTGAACTACCACTGTGGTCTGCGATTCTTTCTTTTTCCAGAAACCTTTATTTGCTCTTAATTGGTTTATCATGACTTGAATGGAGAATCAAATGCCAAGCCGAGCAGCCAAACCTCTGTAATCTCTCCCTGCTGTGTTCATTAGCACATTACAGCTTCCAGTACACCTTCCCGCAGAGCTTCAAACCCCCAAAATCCCAGCATCGAGTTGAGATTCTCAGATACAAATGACAAAACTGTATGGTTTGCATCTGAAAATATAAATATGCTAAATTTGCATAAATATTTCAGGCGTCAATTTATTAGAGTATTTACGGTAATTCTCTTTATCACTGAACCTTCATAATCCGAGAAATGTTGACATTCACAAAATGCAGACTGTTATCTTAAGGCTTAATTCATGTCAAATTTGGTAAAAGCAGTTCAGTGACACTTAAAGAGACAATATAATCCATGAAAAACTTCAAACTGTCCATTTCAATCAACTATTTGTTTACATCGTCACTATATATCTGTGTGGTAGAAGTTTCCGTTTGTTTTTGTTTTTTTCAAAAACCTTTAAGAAACAATATATGATGGTAAATATTACTGTTTATTATTATTACTATGCGTTGTTATATTTAAATGCACAGAAATTAAAATGACGAAAAATCTTTCTTAGTGAAAACTAACTAGATTTCTACTATATTTTAGTTCTTGCATGAAATATTTTCAATCTACATGGCTGTGACAGCTGATTGGTTGAAATGTCTTCAAATTCAACTCTAGTAGTATGTATGTAGTATCCGTTAGCACAGAAACAACAAATCTGAACTGTTCCGACATTAACAGAAGCACCCTACCTGTTTCTGAAGCTGTCGAAGTCTTATCTTCCATAGGCTGGGCAGACAGCGGCTCCTCTGCGCCCTGGTCCTGAGACTCAGAAGCCTGCCAAGAGTCTCGGCTCTGAGCCCAGGCCCTCCTCTTGAATCTGGCAGGGGGGGACTCGCACTCCTCCATGTCCTTGGCTCGGACGGGATACTACAGTGGGGGATGGTTCACCTGCAGATAAGCGAAAAGGGATTGGCTCAGACCTGAATGACATGACAATAGCCAGGCCCCCCTCTCTCTGGAGGGATCGATAGCAGGCCCAAAGAGTGATATCTTGTGTCATAAAGCAGATATGTAAGAATCTTCCTTTTCTGAACGAAGTCACATTAACCAAAACTGTGCACACATCTTAAGCTCATTTGAGCACTTCAAGAACAAAACTACAAGAGCGAACATGTCTTTAATGCATTAGCTTGCACATGAGGTTTAAGGGTGTTAACTGAAAACACAGTGTGTAATAGACAAACAAATGTTACAGTCTCCAATCGCACCGATACTCAAAATCAAGACCCAAAAATGACCTTAAACTAGTGGTTCAACGGATCACAAATCTCACGGTTCGGATCACATTACGGTTTTTGACCCACGGATCGGATCTTTTTTCGGATCAGCAAGAAAAGAAAAATATTTCAATTTAACTTGCTTTCCATTTATTACTTAAAGCGAAGCACTTCTTTGATACCACAGCAAATACTACTAGATCAACTAAAACATGATTAAAGAGACAAGAGAACAGCCAGTAAAAATAAGAACAAATGCACAAATTACAAGCAGAGATAAATACAACAGAATATGTTACAAATAAAATAAGGTTGGTAGTATTCAAATACAGAAATGTAATAATTAGGGAAAATAACACTGCATAGTGTTCACTGTATAAATTAAATATAGATTTTTATCAAAGCTGTTTTGTTGTTTGATGATCACTAATGACAGCAGCAGTATTTATCGGCCGCTGTCCCTTTAAGACCTGATGCACGGATCCGATATAATGATACACATCACATCCGATTTCTTTCTCAGCTGTTTTCATTCACTTGAGATATAACTGACTGCGTTTACCTGAATGATTGTCGAGATGGGTATTTTGTCAATTTTATGTGTATGTCTCTGTTAAGGGGATTCAGAAGAGGATTCAGTTCTGTGTTTGCGTGCCGTCGGAAAGCGCGTGTGCATGCTTCATGTGTGCGCGGCTGTGGGCGTAGAGAACAGCGCGCGAGTAACGAATCGAGTTCCCTTTCGCCTTTTCTCACTAGAATTATTTAAAATTCGCTTGCTTGTGTAAATACGAACAAATGATAAACTTATACTCTATTATGGTTACATTTTGCAATTAATCCACGGATCACATGCGTGCCGAACCGTGAGGCTTGGTCCGTATGGATCACGGATCAACTACGATCCGTTTAACCACTACCTTAAACAGACAATATTCCATAAGAAACGTGCATAGCATACAGTACATGGCCTCGATCCAAAACAGACACTGAAAATATATGTACAGTATTAGCCTAAATTTGTATGAATTCCCCCTTTCAAGAATTATTACAGTAGTTCTCATATATACCAATAAATGTTGACATGATAATTAATGTAAATCTGTATAGAGTGAGTAAAATGCATGTCATAAAAGGGACTCTTTGAAAAACAATCATACAGTCAGAATTATTTTGGCTGATGATCACGGTGTTAAAGGATTAATTCACCCAAATATGAAAATGTGCTGAAAATGTACTGACCCTCAGGCCATCCAAGATGTAGATGAGTTAGTTTTTTCAATGGAACACATTTGGAGAAATGTAGCATTCCATCACTTGCTCACCAATGGATCCTCTGCGGTGAATGGGTGCCGTCAGAATGAAAGGCCAAACAGCTGATAAAAACATCAGAGTAACTCACAAGTAACTCCAGCACATCAATTAATGATGTGTGTTTCATTAATTAGTGTTTCACTAAATGATTAGTTTCAGCAAAATGTTGTGTGTTTGTAAGAAACAATTCCATCATTAAGGCACTTTAACTTTAACTCATCACTTCTGGCCAAAATACAAGTCCATAATCCATAACAACACTTCCTCTAGTGTGTTAAAAAAAAAGAAAAAAGCCTCTCATATCAAAAATCCACCGACATATTTGTTCAGAACTGTTTTGGACTGTTTTCAGTGTTTGATCTGAGCATATTTCTCTCCTGATTCAGACAAGATGACATTTTCACTGTAGAAAACAATTATTATGGATAGAGACCTAACCAGAAGCATCAGTCAGAAGTTACAAATGTCTTAATTATGGATTTATTACAAACATGCAGCTTTTCACTTCAAGATGTTAACTGATGAACTGGAGTCATGTGGATTATTGTGACGTTTTTATCAGCTGTTTGGCCTCTCATTCTGACGGCACCCATTCACTGCAGAGGATCTATTGGTGAGCAAGTGATGTAATGCTACATTTCTCCAAATGTGTTCCAATAAAGAACTCATCTACATCTTGGATGGTATATTTTCAGAATATTTGATTTTTTTGGATGAATTATTCCATTATAATAGCAATTATCTGTGGCATGTTTTTGTTCAATAACAGATGCTAAAGGTGCAGAAATGACACATGCAGCTTTAAATAGCATAAGCCGCCTGACACAGTCAGAGTAAATAGAAATTTTCTTTGCATTTAATATATATTTTTATTTCTATATATAACATCACAAAAATGTGATAACACAAATAACCTAAATAAATAACCTAAAAAAATAAAGAAGAAAGAAATTGGTACATGAGATGTTTCTGTTCAGGTGGTCAAAGGATCTGACCAAAAGCAATACATTTTACTTAGCAAGAACAAAAAAATAGAGGGAACACTGCTTCCAGAAATTACTGGAAAATCAAATAAGAGATGAAGGCCATGTGAAGGCAGGGACAACAACTAACCAGAATGAGAAACTAATAACATCTACAGAGATTCCAAAATTCCTGTCCATAAGCAGCAAACCGAAGAAAGAGAGGGAGAGAGAGATGGGGGCGGGACGGGGTCTTAACTGGAATAAACGGTAAAAAGAAAAAGTCAAAAAACAAGTAGAGCAGGAAATGTCTGTTTAGTTGAAAGATTACAAGCTGGTGCGGAGTAATTTCCTGTTTTGGATCTAGCACTTTTTGGAGGAACAGATGAGCCTGACCAAATAGGATGGATTTATAACTCAGCGTTCTGATCTCCCACAATTCACACACAGCTATTAATAGCATGTGTCTATTTTCAGACTGATCATTGAAGTGTGACAAATGAAAACCACCAGGAACACCACCACATTTTATTACCAAAAGTCATTATAAAGTGAAAAGTGACAGTGAAAGTGACGTGACATGTGGCCAAGTATGGTGACCCATACTCGGAATTAGTGCTCTGCATTTACCCATCCAAAGTGCACACACACAGCAGTGAACACACACACAAACCGTGAACACACACCCGGAGCAGTGGGCAGCCATTTATGCTGCGGCGCCCGGGGAGCAGTTGGGGTTCAGTGCCTTGCTCAAGGGCACCTCAGTCGTGGTATTGAAGGTGGAAGAGAGCACTGTACATTCACTCCCCCCCCCTACAATTCCTGCCGGTACGAGACTCGAACCCACAAACTTTGGGTTATGAGTCCGACTCTCTAACCATTAGGCCACGACTTCCCCTGATTTTCCAATAAGGAAACACGTCAACATTGGGGAATATACCTGCTTGAATACACCTTACAGAAGCATAATTTACAACAGTGATTCTCAAATAAGATGAAACGAGCATTAAAATAAGCTAAAACAACAACAAAAAACCCAACAATCTTGGAAAACCTGGATATATGAGGCAGATATATAAAGTGGAAAAGTCATGGAAATTAATAAAATCCTAGAATCATCTTCATGGGCATTTTTTTAAATGAATATACATTTTACTGGTTATGTCAAGCTCTAAAAAAAATTGATTGGCTTGAAATTGTGAGAAAAAAATGAATTCATTTTGTGATTAATTCAAAATATTATTTTGTGTTAACATATGGCTTTTCATACATTTGCCTCCTTATTAATACTTAATAATTCATACATTGAAATGCACATGAAATATTAACAAGTGAAATTTTCAGTTCAATAAATAAAATTAGTACCGCATTGACCCGAATATAAGACTATGTTTTTTTCTTGGAAATACATCTGAAAAAACGCGGTCGTCTTATATTCAGGCTCTAGACTTTGTTGGTACAGTTTACCAGTTTTTACCATACTTTCAAAACAAAAAATAGGAAAAATATGCAATATGAAAATAATTGAAGACTTTTTTTTATTTTACAGCTGGGTAATTTTGGTGCAGTAGCACGAGATAGCTTGATTTCAAACTTTGAATTGAATAAAAAATGACAAGTAAGCAGTCAGTAATAAAATAAGAACAAATAAAGAAATTAATAATGATAGCACAAATAAAAAATAACGACAGGCCTTCGAATTAAATAAATTGCTTTTTAGTTTTTCAGGTAGGTCTAAAAGTAGGGTTAAGCATTTTTTTAACCAAAAATATCCAAATAAGTTTTAGTCCTAGAAAGCTATTATTATCAGAACACGTGAGCATAACATACAGCGTCGGAGCCACGGGGGGGCCTGGCCCGGCCACCTCTGGTGCAGTCTCCGTAGTGGGCACCCTGATTTTAGTCAGTGAGGCAAGGTACTGCCCTGGGAAGGTCTCCCAGGCTGTTAAATACACAGATTAAAAGCGACATGTTTTCAAAAAAATTTTTTTTTTGTTCAGGTTATGCAGAGCGAAATAAGAACGGTGCTGCATTTAGAAATAATTCTTATTAACTTTGCTATTATTCTTGAATTTTCAAACTGCTAACACTTTGCAGTTTCGAATTATGCCTTTACTGTATGTCCAAAAATTACGGAGTAGTCTATTTGATGTTTCAGCTGTTTGATCGCGCCGGCACCTCATGTGCACACTAAGCTACTGCATTCATTGGAAACGGCGCAGCCGTTCACCGTGCCGTTTGGCGTGAGACCCGGTCCACTGTGGCATATTTTTGCTCATTATGATATTTTTCCGTCGATACTGGAACGCGCGTGAACTATAAAGCCTATTTTACCTAATAAGGCTAATAGTTTAGCTTCAGCTACATCGCGAATATGGACACATTTGGATTTGTGCCT